AGCTTCTCTGGGTCAAAAACAGAAGTTGCTGGAAAAACTGAGCAGGTCTGGCATCATCTGTGAAGAAAAGATCAGAGTTAACATTTTGGGTCTGGTGACCCTTCTTCAGTACTGGAGCTTTACTGCGTGTTTCAGGGATAATTATTAGAAAGGGAGCCTCTACTCCCATCATAATAGATTGGGGTTTGTGTTTTGGTTTAATTATTGGAAGACCTCAACTTCCCCTTTATAACAGTAGTGAGGGAGTGCTGCACCTTTGATGGTCAGTGCTGAGGGAGCGCGCACTGTCAGAGGGTCAGTGCTGAGGGAGTGCCGCACCGTCGGAGGTTCAGTGCTGAGGGACCACTGCACTGTCGGAGGGTCAGTGCTGAGGGAATGCCGCACTGTTAGAAGGTTACACTTAGTCTGGAGTCACATCTCGGCCAGGCCAGGTAACAGACAGCTGTTACGTCCCCTGAAGCACATTTGTGATGCAGAGTTTTTAGACTCTTAATTCCAGATCTTTAAATCAAATTGAAATTTCACCATCTGCTATGGCACAATTCTATCCCACTGCCCAGAATTTCACTTGGGTCTTTGACTTTATGGTCCAGTGATAGTTTCATGAGGTAATTGCCTCCCCTTCCTGTTACTATTTGTGGGATCGTGCCAAGATGTTTGCCCCATCTTAGTACATTGAAACAGCAGGGACTGCTTCATTGTCTGGGAAGTTCTAAGGTCACAACAGGAGCTGTAAAAATGCAATGTTGTTTGATTTCAGTTCATGCTGTTGGAGATTCTATCCATCAATCAGATTCCAAGTGGCTATGTGACCAACCCCGGGTGACTGGCACTGATTACATTGGTGCCAGGAAATGTGACTGTAACCATGGGGTGGTCTTTGGTGAGAATTTTTATGTGGTATTTGGAAGCCTAGCTTTTCACTCCTAAACTCGGTTCACTCACCAGTTTGGCTCCCTGTCAGTGTACCTTTGCCTCACATTTGCAGCTGTAATTTGTGCTGCACCTGGATGATGAAAATATTTCAAACACGGGGCAGTGCATCTCAGTGAAATCTTCTCCATTTCAAACCCCCACCCCACACCTTGTGCTGCTGCTCTCTGTAAAACAGTCCCATTCACATTCCAACATGACAAGATGGAAAATGAAATACCCTAGCCCTGAGGCCTCGGCACAGTATTCAGAGTCAGTCAGCGACTGTGGCAGTATCAGATGTGGAATCGAGGTTTTCAGGATGAGATAAGAAACAGATTGATTTGATGGGTGTTCACAAATGATGTGACTTTCAAATCGATCAGGAGTTTAGACTCGGCTGTTTATTCCCATTGATGTGAAACTCACCCCCTCCTTTTCATCAACCTCAGAAAATATTAACTAGTTTCATGAGGTTTCCAAAGTGATCAAGGTGAGTGATGTTCACAGAATCACAGGATTATTACAGTGCAGAAGGAGACCATTCAGCCCATCATGTTTATCTCTGGCTCTCTGAGCATTTTGACTGAGTGTCTATCTCCATCCTTTGCCCTGTATCCCTGCTCCTTGTTTCTATTTAAATGATCATTCAGATCCTTCTTGAACATTTCAATTCAACCTTGCAGCATTTCATTTCCATTCACTTTAGACCAGACCTTAACCACTCACTGTGATTAAAAAAGCACTCATTTTATTTTTTTCTTTTGCCACTTTACAACTGTACCCTCTGGTTCTCAATCTGTTTACAAATGGAAACAGTTTCTCCCTATCCAATTTAAACAGCACGTTTACGATTTTGAAAACCTCTATCAAACCTTATCTTAACCTTCTCTCCGACGAGAACAGCTGCATCTTCCCAAAAATATTCTCATAACCACAATGACTAATCCCTGGAACCATTTTCATAAACTCTACCAAACTCTACACTGCCTGTATCAAACACTCCTGGGACAGGGACAGCACGGGGTTAGATACAGAGTAAAGCTTCCTCTGCACTGTCCTCATCAAACCCTCCCAGGACAGGGACAGCACAGGGTTAGATTAGAGTTTTGTCCAATGGATGAATGAAGACCAGGAATAGGATTGTCAGGTCCCTGAGGTTCTCGACAGAAAGGCAGGAAGATGTGAGAAGGAGAGAGCAGGCATTATCCCAAACTCTGTCCTGTGACTGAATAAATTCTCCACTGAGCTTTACTGCACTGCCTTTCCAGGTAGTGTTCCCACTATCTCGAAGGTGGAGGGCGGAGGGTTGAAGTGAGTGATCTGAGTTAGGTCAGTTTCATGTGTAATGCCGTGGTCAGGACGGTGCCAGTCATCAGTGATGACCTGCTGGAGCAATGCCAGGCTGGGTGCAGTGTTCCTGCTGGCCTCACGACATGCTGCACCTTTCATCACTTTCAACCACTGTTCCTGAGTGAACAATGATCCTGACCCTTTTTATTCAATCTGAAGAGGGGGATTACAATGACACGACCTCACTGAAATACCCCTCAACAGTAAAAGGGGCAAATTGTTCTTCCTCTCAGTTATTTGCCTAGACTCATTACATTTTGCTATTCCCAACCTCACTTCACTATAGTCTGCCATATCCCCATTCCATACCCCATCCTACACCCTCCTTCCACCCAACACCCCCTCAAAAGGCTGGAGGCTGTGGCAGATATTATCTCCATAAATCGTAAATTGCTGGAAAGGTTCAGCAGGCCAGGCAGAATCAGTGGAGAGAAATCAGAATTAATGTTTTGGATCGAGTGACCCTTCCTCAGAACGGTCCTCTGAGGATGGGTCACTCGACCTGAAATGTTAACTCTGATTTCTCTCCATGGATGCTGCCAGACCTGCTGAGCTTTTCCAGCAATTTCTATTTTTGTTTCTGATTTACAGCATCTGCAGTTCTTTCGGTTTTTAACTCTATCAATCTCTGTACTGATCATGTCACTGCCCCTGGCTGTTACAGTAAAAACTCTGCAACAGAGTCTTCTCCTGTGATCTTACTGTTTCTGGTTAGTGATTGTACACTGTACCGAGCTGCCATTTGAGATGCACGAGTCCAAACTGTAATCCTTGCCCCAACAATTGGATATCACCACCCAGGATGGTGAGTGGCTTGGAGGGGAACTTGGAGGGGCTGGTGTTCCCATGTATCTGCTGCCCTTGTCCTTCTAGATGGAAGTGGTGGTGGGTTTGGAAGGTGCTGCCTGAGGATCTTTGAATTTCTGCAGTGCGTCTTGTAGATAGTACACATTGCTGCTACTGAGCGTCGGTGGGTGGAGGGAGTGGGATGTTTGTGGATGTGGTGCCAATCAAGCGGCTACTTTGTCCTGGATGGTGTCAAACTTCTTGAGTGTTGTTGGGGCTGCACCCATCCAGGCAAGTGGGGAGTATTCCATCACACTCCTGACTTGTGCCTTGTAGATGGTGGACAGGCTTTGGGGAGCCAGGAGGTGAGAAATCTTATTCAACTTTTGGAAGAGGTGGCAAAGGTAGTGGACAGGGAATGTCTATAGATATTATTGAAAGCAACGTCCAGACATCACCTAATAACAGGCTGTTTGTTAAAGTTGAACCTTATGGAATTGAAGGTGAATTATTGACCTGGTTCAGGTACTGATAGAGTCAAAGGAGACAGAAAGGAGAGATATGGGCATGTGCAGACCTTACAGGGATATGCGTCAGGCCTCAACTATTCACAGGATTTCAAAATTGGATATTCAGACTGCAGTGATTTAAGAAGGCAACTCACTACCACCTCCTCCAGGGCAACTAGGGATGGGCAATAAATGCTGGACCAGCCAGCAACACCTGCATCCCATGAAGGAACAATAAAAGAAAAAACTTGGAATTTGCCACTGGCACAAAGATAGGTGGGATTGTAAGCAGTGTAGAATGGGCCATAATATTACAAAGACATTCTGATAGTTGGAGGGAGCTGGATTAACATCAGTAGCGATACAGTCAGTAACACAGGGTGCTGGGGGGGGGAGAGGGATTAACATCAGTAGGGATACAGCCAGTAACACAGGGTGCTGGAGGAGGGGTGGAGAGAGGGGTTACTGAGTGACAGTGTGAGGGAGAGGGAATAACATCAGTAGGGATACAGTCAGTAACACAGGGCGCTGGGGAGAGAGGGGTTACTGAGTGACAGTGTGAGGGAGCTGGATTAACATTAGGAGAGATACAGTATGTAACACAGTGTGTAGATTCTGTGACTAGAATAAGAAGCTAATTATGGAGGGGGAATTGGTATATTGGGATTCTTCCCACAGGAGGAGAGAAGAGCTAAGAAAAGTTTTTATAATTTTGAAAGAGTTTTGACAGAGTGAAAGATTGATTGTGATGCCTTGAAAGAGTGTCCCTAATTTAGAATGTCAGAGAGTAAGGAGAGAAATTAAGTGAAATTTTCTTCTTGAAAGAATTGTCGACCCTGGTTAAGATAAAGCTTGTTGTATCTTTAATGCGAAACATGATAAATATTTGATTCTGAAGACCATATCAGACTGGAACAGTGAGGGTGTGGACGTCCCGTAGTGAGATTGGTTTTGTTGTTGTCCTAAGGAACCAGCCAGGATCTGGTGGGATGAATGATCTCCCAATGAGCTGGAAACCTCTTGGGTTCTCTCGCTGTGGATTGTAGGAAGAAGGGGAGATTGAGGAAGTTGAGGAGTTTCCAGGGAAAGGGTGAGGTGAAAATTTCATGGAGCATGGTCAGGAAAATGGGGTGGAGAGGCAGATTTGCCATGTTCCAATCACCCGGTGGAACAAGATGTCCAAAGATGTTCAGGTTAGGTGAATTGACCATGGTATATGCAGGGTCTGCATGGGATGCTCTTTAGCAGGTTGGTGCAGATTCAATGGGCCAAATGGCCTCTATCTGCATTCTATGGATTCTATGATTCTATTCTAACAGGCTCAGGTTGAATGGTTTCCTCCTGTTGCAATGTTCATATGAACAACACATCATCTTAGTCACTGGTCACTGATACCTTCTCCCTCACCAACTCTGAAACTTGCCCTTTTCTCTCCTGTAGCAGTGAGCAGCTTTGCTCAGGATCTCCCGTCCTTACCTCATGGATGTACAGAGGGAAGCTGTTACCCAGCAACCGGTAACCTCCTGATTGGACGAGCTCACAACCTAACTGCCTCATCTACCTGTGGGATGGAACAGCCAAGTGACTACTGTATTGTCAGCCACCTCCAGGTAAGTGAGAGAGAGCCGGGGGGGATGAGCAGCAATTAGCCATTGTCAATCCACCAGGACTGGCCTGCAAAGTGATCATTTCTGCTGCTAGCAAACATCTGGGAGAAGAATCATAGCAGGGTTTTGTACCAGATTATTTTAGCTTTATTTGGATTATTTACTGTTCAGGCCATAGGATAAAGGAGCTAGAGTAGGCCACTTGGCCTATTGAGCCCCTTTCACTATTCTCAGGACCATACCTGAGACACCATGTACAGTTTTGGTCACCTTGTCTAAAAAGATGGAGATGAATGTTTTGGAAACATTTTGGAAAATATTCATTAATCTAACACGTGGAATTAAAACAGAAGGTGCTGGAGAAACTCCACAGGATCTGGCATCATCGTTGGAGAGAGAAAAAGAGTTAATGTTCCGAGTCTGATATGAATCTTTTTCAGAATTTTGAAGATTGGGTAAATCACAAAGGGTTCAGAGAGTAAGGGGAGAGCGAGGTTAGACAACATGGAATATTAAAAGGTGTGGGGAGTGAGGGAAGGGTGAGATTAGACTGGGTGGGATATTAAAGGGAGTGGGCAGTGGGGAGGGAAAGTGGGATTAGACTAGGTGGGATATTAAAGGGAGCCAGGAGTGAGAGGGAGCGTGGAATTAGACTGGGTGGGATATTATAGGGAGGGGGAGAGTGGGGGAGAGTGGGATTAGACTGGGTGGGATATTAAAGGGAGGGGGAGAGTGGGATTAGACTGTGTGGGATATTTAAGGGAGGAAGGAGTGATGGGGAGAGTGGGATTAGACTGGGTGGGATATTTAAGAGAGGGGGGAGGGAGGGGGAGAGTGGGATTAGACTGGGTGGGATATTTAAGGGAGTGAAGAGAGTGTTGCGGTGCTGAATGGCCTAATTCTCTGATGGAATATTGAATGTTATTTTCTGTGCCTCATTCTCCGTTTCAATGTGGTGTCTTTCTCTCTCTCTCAGACTGCACTGTCACCCTCATCATCCCCCTTTCTCCTCGCTGAACACAAGCTTTAATTTCTTGTTGTGAATTAAACAAGTAAAAAGAGATAAGATCGAAATGCTCAAGTAGACACTTCAATGTGGGTGCCACCAACACAGGCCTCTGACTCATTAAAGGAGAAACTCTCCTTATCAGCACACTGCACTATCGCCATGCCAACGGTTCCTGGAGATGCTGTGATACTGAGATGCTTGTGTTTATTTTGTCTAACATGATTTTGATAAAATAAATATAAATTTGAAATAAAAAGGGCAGCTGGTAGCAATAAATTGATCATATCCTGAGACAGGAGGTGATGAGGATGCAGCAGTGGGGAGGTTGGACATTGAATAGTATCACCGTTCAGTCTCAGTGTCACACTGCACCAGGGGCAGGGAGGTGTGGGGAAATGATAGACCCCTTATTGCAGTGTCGAAACCCCAGAGCAGGTCAGGGTACAGCATCATTCCGATTGCTGCTCTCCTGAGAATTACTTTTGGAACGAAAATGCACCTTGCTGTTGAAAGCAGATCAGAAATTCTAAATGATAAAGTGCAACTTCATTTATGTGGTGCTTTTCTGGAGTTCAGGAAGCACTTAGCAAAGCAACTCCAAAACTCCAAGATACTTAGAAACCAATTAAGTGCACTGAAACTTAGTGGTGCAGATTAATACAGGAGTGTGATGGAATACTCCCCACTTGCCTGGATGGGTGCAGCTCCAACAACACTCAAGGAGTTTGACACCATCCAGGACAAAGCAGCCACTTGATTGGCACCACATCCACAAACACCCCACTCCCTCCACCACCGACGCTCAGTAGCAGCAGTGTGTACTATCTACAAGATGCACCGCAGAAATTCACCAAAGATCCTCAGGCAGCACCTTCCTAAGGTGCTCACCCTTGAGGGGGCAATGGCCTAGTGGTATTATTGCTGTTAATCCAGAGACACAGGTAATGGTCCGGTGATACGGGTTCGAAACCCGCCACGGCAGGAGGTAGAATTTGAATTCAATAAATATCTGGAATTAAGAGTTTAATGATGACCATGAATCCATTGTCAATTATCAGACGACCCATCTGGTTCACTAATGTCCTTTAGGAAAGGAAACGGCCATCCTAACCTAGTCTGACCTACATGTGACTCCAGACCCACAGAAACATGGTTGACTCTGAACTGCCCTCTGGGCAATTAGGGATGGGCAATAAATGCTGCCTGGTCAGTGACACCCTCATCCCATGAATGAATAAAGGAAAAAAATCCACGATCACTTCCATCTGGAAGGACAAGGGCAGCAGATACACGGGAACACCAGCCCCCTGCAAGTTCCCCTCCAAGCCACTCACCATCCTGACTTGGAAATATATCGCCGTTCCTTCACTGTCACTGGGTCAAAATCCTGGAATTCCCTCCCTAAGGACACTGTAGGTCAACCCACAGCAGGTGGTTTGCAGCGGTTCAAGAAGGCAGCTCACCCCCACCTTCTCAAGGGCATCTAAGAATGGGCAATAAAAATGCTCGCCCATTCAGAGATGCCCACATCCCTCATGAATTAAAAAAAACAAATTTGCAGAAACGGCTCTGGGATACGTAACCACTTGGGCTGTTTTTAGTCGCCAGATGAGGAATTTAAATAGTTAAAAAGAAGTCGAGTATATCAATGACATTAGGATTTACTCCATTTTCTGAGGGGTGTACCCACGACACAGTCCAAAACTATACAAGAGGTTGTGGAGATTTACCCAGAGTGAAAGCAGTGATGAGGGTCTGAAGTGAATGTGGGAACACTGTGAAGCTGGGATTGTGTAACTTGGAACCAAGTTGGTTAAGAGGCGATTTAATGGAGGAGTTGAAAGATTGTGAAGAACATATGAGGAAACTATATCCAGTTGCAATTTCAGTTGTTAATTTTAAATCTGAGACAGATACATTTTTGATATGGGCCAAACGCAGGTATATGGAGTTAGACAACAGATCTGCCATGATCTCATTGAATGGTGGAACAGGCTCAAGGGGCTGAATGGCCTACTCTTGTTTCTATGTTCCTAATGGCCAGAGTGACAGATGTTCAGAAGGGCACTAGGTGTGTTCCGCAGGATTTTGGGAGTGGTCTAGGAGACCAGGGAAGAACTCAGAGTGATTGTATCTCTCTGTGCCAAAGAAGCTGGGAGCGGAGCAGTCAGTTCTAGGATCTGTATGCCCGAAACAATGGGAACCTCAGGAAATGCACTCCACTTGGCTGGATAACACAGAGTTACCATCAACAACACCATCGCAGCATGAGTGCTCAAGCTGGAAAGTGCAGCCGCTTTCCTTTCCTTTGATCGTGGGGTGCGAGTGCCACTGGCCAAGCCAACTTTTATTGCCCAGGGGGCATTTCAGAGTCAACCGGTTTGCTGTGGGTCTGGAGTCATGTGTAGGCCAGACCAGGTTAGGGACAGCGGATTTCCTTCCTGAAACAGTGCCATGGCCATTATTAAATGAGCTGAATTACTCCCCTCCTGGTTTTCTTTCTAATTTTTAAATTTCACCACCTGCCATGATGAAAATATAACCCATGTTCCCAGAATGTTAGGCTAGTTAGCTGGATTACCAATCCAGTCACATTATCACTACAACACCCAAGACAATTGAGTAAAAGCTAGATAATGCAGAAAGGAATGGAAGGATGTGTCGATAATGCAGGAGGAGATTCATGTACAGCATACGCACAAGTATGAATCAGATGGACTGAGTGGCCTGCTTCTGTACCATAGTTCCAGTATAAGCAGGAACAGTACCAGTCAGAGGAGGCTGGAATAAGACTCAACAGACCTTGTTTCATTCCGTTGAATATTTAAATAAAAACAGCTCTCTTTAACAGATTTTGAACTTTAAGATGAAATCCAAAATGGTTTCAGTGTTGTTTACCGACAAGTGAACTTCTGGCAATTAGGAGGAGGACACTGGGAGGTGAGGCTTGGCCAGAGTCAGTATAACTCCCACTTAGGAATGTAATGAAGAGATGCTGCTGAGGCAGAGAGATGGCAGAGTGTTGGTGACGCAAACTCTGTTAACATTGTTGTGTGTTAACACTTGCCTTTCTTTCGAGGCACTGGGGATATTTTTATGAATTTGAGAAACTGCTTCTACTTTGAAATTGTTGTTCCTGTATCTAAATTTTATTGATCATTACAAATATTTTTAATGTATACCACTCTTATAGAAGTTTACCCCAGTGAGAGTCAGTGTGTGTGTGGGACCCCGTACCCCAGTGAGAGTCAGTGTGTGTGGGACTGTACCCCAGTGAGAGTCAGTGTGTGTGTGGGACCCCGTACCCCAGTGAGAGTCAGTGTGTGTGTGTGGGACCCCGTACCCCAGTGAGAGTCAGTGTACGTGTGGGACCCCATATCCCAGTGAGAGTCAGTGTGTGTGTGTGGGACCCCATATCCCAGTGAGAGTCAGTGTGTGTGTGTGGGACCCCATATCCCAGTGAGAGTCAGTGTGTGTGTGGGACTGTGCAGACTGGCACAGTAACACAGTCTTGGTCCTACACTGGGAGTTTTGCCTGGTCTGAAGTTTGGAACTTGAGCCCTGACCTTCACTGTCAGAAACAAGAAAGTCACCCACTGAATCGCTGTCAAGAGAGAAGCAATGAAAGTCAACGAAAGACAATTTTACAATTGTAACGAGTTGTGTAACAAAGGTTCTGGGTGTTCCAGTGATTGTGGAGCTATGCAGAGAGAGATCAAACACATAACAAAGTGCCTTATTTGCCTTGGCTTCAAACCAGGATTGAATGAAGGGAGTGGCAGAGGTTAAATTAAATCAAAATGTAATAACATGGCTGAATACGAAGAGGAATGAGAGATTACAGGGTGAAAATAAGCTGGAGGTGTAACAAACACTTGCAATATCTGAGCAATATTGACTGTGGTTGGACTTCTCTGTGGGACAATGTCATTGTGGATTGTCACATCAGTTTGTTTGTTCCCTGGCACAGTGAGTTCGGGGTAAGCTGAGAAAG